AAAAAAAAAAAACCAAAAATCAATTTATTATGTCATAAAGTTTTTACACATCGTTTTTTTTCTTTATTCAAATTCTTTGAAATTTTCAGTACAGAATAATTTACTTTTTGGATAAATTGGTAATGGTTCAGTGTACATCTTTATTACTTCATCTGAGTCTATGTTTAATGGTATGTCTCTAATAAATCCATTAGAAACATCATTAAAATCTTGTTGGTCTTCATCTATTTCCATTTCTATTGTATGTTCATCAATACGAGGTGGATTAGTAAATTGAACAATAGGTAAATTAGAATTTCCTACTTCTTCAAGAATTGCCATTACTTTATTTAATATATCTTCAATATAATTTCTACTATTACAATTTTTCATTTGTGGATTTGTAGAAATAGTGATTTTCATATCAGGAACATAATATTCTAAATAATCATTAATTGGAATTTGATCAGGAATATTTAAATCACAAGCTGCTGCTGTTTCATAACACCAACATCTTGCAGTATTAGATACAGTATATCCACCACCTCCAACAAGAATCATTGGAAGTCCAAACTTTTTAACATATTTCATACAATCACAATGTCCTTGAATTGATAAATTAAAAAATCCTAATCTATCTCCATTTAAACTATCTGCTCCACATTGCATTACAACTACACTTGGTTGAAAAACTTCCATAATTCTATCTATTATTGGATAAAATAATCTATGATATCCTTCATCATTAATTCCATCTTTTAATGGTACATTAATACTATAATTCTTACCTTCATCAATTCCAACTTCATCTACATCTCCTGTTCCAGGAAAATAATTATCTCCATATTTATGTAATGAAAATGTCATTACTCTATTTGTAGCTTTAAATGCTTCTTCAACTCCATCTCCATGATGATGATCAATATCAATATAAAGTACTCTTGAATGAACTTTAAGTAATTCTAATATAGCACATACAATATCATTAATATAACAAAACCCTGATGCTTGTGACTTCTTTGCATGATGTAATCCTCCTGACCAATTTACACAAATATCTGCTGCTCTTTCATTAATTTTCATAGCACATCCTAATGAACTTCCTACAACTGTTTGAACAAATGGATATAATCCTTCAAAAACTGGACAATCATCTGTAAAATTAAATTCTTCTAATGACTTTTTAAAATGAGGTTGTAATGCCATTTCTGGTGTAACTCTTTGTAAAAAATCAATATATTCTTTAGAATGGAACATTTCCATTTGTTCATTTGTTGCTCTCCATGGTTTCTATTTCATTAATTTCTTTTTTTATTTCTTTTAATAAAGACCAAACATAAATATTTAGTCGTTTGTATATTCCATATTCCATAATTAAGTGATGTACTAATTTATTTCTTAATGGTTTCATTGGATGTCCAAATCCATAATCAAATTCTCCAACATTTTGATCATAGAAATAACATACTCGACTCATGGATTCTTTATTTCTTGTTTTTTAGTTCATTTCCTTTTTTCTCTTCATTTTTCATTACTTCTACCATTTCTTTATTTTACTATTCTTTTAAAAACTCTTTCACTTTCTTTTTTCATTCCATTAATAAATTCTTTATGAAAAAGTCAAAACCCTTAAATTTTTATCTTTTCTTCTTTTCTTCTTATCCTCTCCTATTGTCTTGTTGTTTCCACACACCTTTTCTTCTTGATTTTTCATTCTCAACTCTTGTCTCCATCAATTATTGACTTTTCTATCTCTTCCTTCTCATTTGACAAGTTACATCATGACAATCATTCTTTTCTTTCTTCATGTACAAAACAACTCAACAAATTGGAAAACAACAAACAAATAATGAAGTGTAGAATGACAATAATTTACGAAGTAATAAGAAACAAGTGAATATTATGTTTTGATTGATATAAAAGAAGGAGGTTCTAAAATATTATCAGAAGATAAATCGAAGAAGAAATAGAAATAATAATTAAATCTCAGGATAATTGATTTGGTAATGATGTGTTAGTCACAATATTACAAGAGATATAAAATATAAATGAAATGACTTTTAGATAAGACTCATCATTTTCTATCAAGAACATGAAAAAAGAGTCAAAAACATCAGAAGACATTCCTAATAATAAACAATAAACAAAAATAATAATACACTCAATTTGTTAATAATTAATCACTCATTTTTATTTTAACTTTGATTAAAAGAAAATGAAAGATAAAAAATCTAGAGATTGTTATTAGATGAGATAAATGGAAAGAAAGATTTAAATGTGGATTGTTAAGTTAATATAAATCTACAAATCTTTATAATAAATTAAACAGTTGTTGATTTTCTTTTGTTGGAGTAATAAGAGTGGCATTATCAACATCAATAAGTTCTTCTTTGTTAAACCATGAAAGTAAAGAAGGTTTTCTTTTCAATTTAATACCTTCACTTTTATATTTTTGTTCAGTCTCAAGAACAAATTGATCAAATGCAGCAGTTTTACTAAACATTTCAATGAATTTTCTTTCTTCTCCAAGGAAGAAATAATCTTTATAAAATTCTTTTACATTATATTCAGTGTTTGTTTCTATCATTGAACGAATTCTCATTTCAATGTCTTTAATAAAACAATTCATTAGTTCATTAAAAGCCTTTTTAATTATTGGATTTTTATCATCTATTGTTTCAGAGTGTGAATAAATTGGTTTTAATGAATTGGTAATTGAATTTATCCATTTACTTGGAATTAATTCATAATCAGACTTAATTATTGTTGAGTCAGTACTCTTGATAATTCCTTTATCAATGTCAACAAAAACAATAATATCAAATAAATCAATAATTTCCATAATTGATGGATCTACTCCAATAATAAATGGTGTTGGTGTTTCTGTTAATTCAGTATATTTGATTGGAAGAAATGGAACAAGTAAATGTTGCCATTTTAAAGGTGAAAATATTTCTAATAATGAAACAATAAATTCTGATATTTTTTGTGCTGAATTTGATTGAATAATAATTCTTCTTTCATTTAATATTGATGAAAATAACATCATTAGTTGAGTTATAGGAAGACAAAGTAACGATGAAAGACATCCAGAAGAAGGTTGGTTTATTGGTTGTGGTAATTGAGAATGAAATGAAAATAAAGGATAATTTAATTGGTTTAATGTTGGTAGTGGAATTAAATGATGGAGTGAAGATAAGAACAAAACTCTTTGAGGTGAAGGGAGTTGAATGAGATGAAGGAGAATATTTATGAATAGTGACCAATGGAGATACTGTGAAGTAAGAATAAATGTACATTCATCTGTTTGTTTTACATAACAAAACATTTGTTGTTGAGAATCTATACAAAGAAATGAACTATGAAGATAAGATGGTGCAATAGGAAAAAAGAATCTAAAGAAATTTTTATCTATTTGGTGTTTAAAAGGAAAACTTTGAATAGGAAGTTCTGTGTGATTGTCAATTTCAAAGAATGAGACAACCAATGGATATTCTTGATTCATTAATTTCTATAAAATGAAAATTTAGTTTTTTTTTGTTTTTTAATTTATGTTTTTTTTTTCTTTTCTTTCATTTAATTTTGACTTTTTAAATTTAATTATTACTTCATAAATTATTCTAAATTATATTAATTTTATGTAATTTATTTCTTATTCAATTTTATTGAAATATAGAGTTTATTTAATAATGAACTATTAATTATTCTTGAAACAAATACATTTGAAGATTTTTATTGAATATTTTTCTTTTTTCATATCGTTATTATTATCATTTTCTTTTTCTTCATTTGTCTTGTGTATTTTTATATTTTTACAATAATAATTGTAAGAATAGACACATTATTTTTATTAATTTACACTCTTATTGAGTTTGTTAATAACTAAACTCATTATATCTTTTATCTTATCTTTACTAACTCAATATCCCTTTGTTGTGTTTATGAAAAATAATCAAATTTCATTTAAGGATTTGTTTTATATTAGATAAAGTTGATTTTATTGGACTTTATTTGTTTTTGTTTCTTTCAGTCTATCCACCACATTAACCAATTGTTAAATCAAAATAATCTTATTCAAATGGCATTACTACAATACTGTAGTTAATGATGACATATTAAAATGTTTTATGAATAATTTAAGTCGTTATGAGAATATTAATTTGAAGAACTTATACAGTTAGTATTGACAATTTCATTTTTTATCTTCATTAATTTCTATGTTATATAAGAAATTATTAAAATAAATTATAATAGTTTAATCAATTAAACACACTTAAAGAATTTCCAACAGTAATTAATGAT